CAAAGGGGAAGGAAGTGGGAGGGCTAGGGGAAAGGATAGAAGGGAATGGGATTAATATGAGAAAATGGAAAAATAGGAACAAAATTTTTGTAAATCGGAAGGACTGGAGGGGTTGAAGGGAGGGCTGGGCAAGGGTGAAAAACAAGAACCAAGAGAGACTATGTAAAGGTGCAAATTTCCAATGATGAATGTCATTATATTGTATACCTAGACCTTCATTTTCATTTCAATTTTAGTCATTTCATTTGTTTATTTCTGTCTTTTATTGTAGGCAATGTATGCTATTTGTTGACAGTGTTTATCACTGAAAGTAATCTTTGATATACTCAGCATAGCCTTAAAAATATATAAAATTAGATAGTATTTGTTTGGTGTCTGACTTTGTTCCACATAGATATGATGCGCTGTATTCTAATCACATCTGTCTTTTCAGGGAGAAGTTGGGGAACTTGGAATCAATGGATTAAATGGAGAACAGGTGGAGCTTTTCTTGTACAACAGAAAGGCCTCTGAGCTGTTTCCCATTGAGACGATGGGAACTGACTTTTCCCTTCTCTGGTTTTAGGGTGATAGTGGCCTTCCTGGAAGAAAAGGAGAAAAGGGAGATGAGGGATCTCAGGTAGGGATTCAATAAAGGGAAAATATAAAAACCATATTTGAAAGTAAAGACGTAAGTAGTAGAGTAAAACAGTCACCCTAAGTGTAACAGTCAGCTATTGCCACAGAATTCTTTGGTGACAAACATTCATGAAATTCCAATTCGATACAATACTAAACAATTCAGCTGCTAGCCTTGAGTGGTTAAGGTGAAGCATAGGTGACTTGGCTTGTATATCTGTAGTTTGTCTGGTGGCTTTGCTCTGTGTGTTTCTTGCCCTCCAAGGCCCAGGAAGTAGCCTGGCTGTGTTGGTCACAACCTTTTCATGGTGAAGACAGAGTGCAAGAGAATAAGAAAAAAGATAAAAGATCTCTCAAGGCACCTTCAGGACACAGTTCAGCACTCTCACAGCAACATTTCTTTCTGTTAGCCACATTAAGTCAGGCAGCCAAATTTGTGAGAAGGGACTCTTACCCACCACAGTTGGAAAACACTTTAGAGTCGTCCACTATCACCAATCCTGTTCAATATAGTTCTGGAAACATTAGCCACAGCAATTAGAAAAGAGAAATAAATAAAAGGAATAAAGATAAGAAAGGAAGAAGTTAAACTGTCAT